GGATGTGTAGAGTAGAGTGGTTGAGAAGGTGGAGAGGAGGGAAGGAGGTAGAAGGAAGGAGGGAAGTAGGTTGAAGAGAGGGAATGTGTTCCTGTGAGGCTACTGAGCATCTTAGAATGGGAGGTTTTTTTAGTTTGTTTTTTTATTAATTGTATTATTGACTTATGCCATAATTGTATGTTTGTTTATTTCGGGGGGGGAAAAAAAATCAATAAAGTTTGTTTATAAAAAAAAAAAAAAAGAAATATAGCACTAGCTATAGCACTTAGGCTTATATACTGCCCCATAGTGCTTTACAGAACTGTCTGGGCAGTTTACAATTTCAGTGTTATTTGCATATTGCCCCCAACAATCTGAGTCCTCATTTTACCAACCTCGGAAAGATGGAAGGCTGAGTCAACCTTATTTTATATGCATAGATCATTTCTGGGAAAAATTCCTAGCCCTGATAGATTGCGTCAATGCTTTTTATGAAATATGTTTTGTTCATAAAGGCGGGATACAAATAAATAAAATAATAATATTGATTAAATCTCTTGCCTCATCTCTTCCAAATTCTTTGCCATTTGCATTTTATAGCTTATATATACTTATGTTAGGTTAGTTGAATATATTTTATACTTAATGAAATATCAACATTGCAGCTTTTTCAATTAAATAATATATTTTTTCCAGATTACAAATAAAAGCAAGGAGTCTATATGGGAATTCATCAAAAGTTTATTGGATGCCTGGTCAGGATGGGTTGTTATGCTACTTATAGGACTGCTGGCAGGTAACTTCAAACAAATGTTAACTCATATTTACTTATTAAAAGTTATGCGCTGTAGAAACAGTTGTTTATGCTGGATATAGAAATGTGATATCTTCTATTTCAGCATTTCAGGGCTAAATACTATTTTTGTTAGGGGATAGAAATGCTAAATATATATGTAGAATATTGACAGTAACAGCACAAAGAAATTATATTTATAATTTGAAATATGGAATAAAAATTGTGATACAGAATTTTAAAAATTATTTTAGTCCCAAATAGATCTAGTACTAGTAATATAACAATTTCCTGGTTAATTGATAATAATTTGCAAAACTTTATGTTTATTTATTAAATTTATATAGCTGCATCTCATGAGAAGTTACTTTAGAAAACATATCTCTTATAAAGATAAAGAGATATTGTAATAAGTAAAAAATTAACTAAGTTTAGATTGTATTGTGGTTTATTATATTCAATGTATGTGTGTGTGTGTATATATATATATATATATATATATATATATATATATATGAGTCTTTGGTCATTCGGGTTTTCTCCCGTGTAAGATTAGAAGTATCATAGCGACGTTTCGATGAAATCACATTCATCATCATCAGGCTTGTGCTTTTATTATTATTATATGTATATATAAGTATATATATGTATATATAAATAAATACATACATACATACATTTGCTCCATCCTTTAAGAGCAGTAGATAACATTCTGAGAAATCATTAGAATTGTGGAACTAAAACACATTCATAATATTATAATTAATAATGGTAATAACAAAATGATTTTTAATTATTTGTGATTTATTATTAATAATATATTATTAAATCAAAATAATATGTCTGGACATTAACTGGTGCTTTTTGGCTTATTATGAATAAACAACTAATGTTCTTCTAGTGTTTGGCTGAAATATGTAATTGGAGCCATGCATAGTTCATGAAGCAATATGACATTTATTCAGGCAAGCTCTTATAAAGCAGTCACTAAAAATGCTATTTTAGTATTTCTTGCTATGAGATATTGATGTCACTGTTGTACTATGTTATTTTAAAAAGTGCCAACTATTTGGAATGAAAAGACAAAAATATTACAATTTCAAATGGAAGGCATAAAATGTATATGTATCTATAATACAATATATGCCAATTGTATTAACTAAATATTTAATATAAGTTTATGATGTTTTTCCATAAATATATAAAAATAAATAAAATAAAATAAATATAAATATAAAAAATATATTAAAAAATGTTTGTTTGAGCAATGTGGTGGCCAAGTGGAGAAAATGCTCACCTTCTATTTGGAGAAGTTCAATCCTAGACAGTGGCAGATGTTTCTCTCCTAGGGCGCAAAGAAAAAAATTCTGCTGTGAACTCCACATAGCGTCAGGAAGGGCATCTGGCCAGTAAAAGCTTGGCTCCATCCAGTCACCCCATCTCTACCCCAGATTAAGGGATTACAGAGTTGTAAAAAGAAAGTTTTTATTTATGGTATTTTTATTGATTCAGTGTCTGCTTTTAGGTCAATATATTGAAAGTAACAGTAATGCACACTGCCTACTTGTTCAACTGGTGGTCTTAACCTACTCTGAAATTTGGTCAATAATCCCAAACCCAAGTTTTGACTTTAACAGTTTCAGCTGCTCATGGAAAACTTATTTAAACTAATAATTGTGTGCATTGTTTAGAAGTTCTTAGAAGTGAGTCAATAAAAGCAATTCGTATTTTAAGAGAAACACTACATTGCATAAGAAAGCTTATAGAGAGATGCAAGGAAACAATCTTCATCTTTGACAGGTTTCACTCACTCACTGTTGTAGATGCTAATAGATGTAATAAATGCTCCTGAAAACACCCTCTAGCTATGAGATGGACATTTCTCCTAACTTTTATTTTGGTAACTGTGAGGTGACTTAACATGGAGTCACATATGTATCTAACTCATAGTCAAGAGACATTTCTGTAAGAGCACGTGCAAAATCATTTCTCATCATCTATCATTTGGGTCCTTCTTTAACATCTATTTCTCTCTCTGTTAGGTACATTGGCTGGAGTTATAGATTTAGCAGTGGACTGGATGACTGATTTGAAAGAAGGAGTCTGTTTAAAAGCCTTTTGGTATAGTCATGAGCAGTGTTGCTGGACATCCAATGAAACTACTTTTGAAGACAGGGACAAATGTCCTCAGTGGCAAAAGTGGTCTGAACTTTTAGTTAACAAATCTGAGGTATTATTATAGTTTTGCTGCAATTTACACACTAATTGTTTAAGGTTTTAACATGGCACTACCATAAAAAAACATGTTACTGAAAAATGCTCTGTGTATAATTATCTAGGCCAGAGATTCCCAACCTTTTGGGCACCAGGGACCGGTTCTGTGGAGAAAGGTTTTTCCATGGACCGGAAAGTGTGTGGTTTTGTGTGCTGCCTGCATCCCATGGATGGGGCTTTGCTTGTTTGTGCGGACCGGTTGCTGGCATGCCGCAGCCCAGTACCGGTCCATAAACCGGGGATTGGGGACCCCTGATCTAGGCTACAGAAAGTTGGACCATTCCTAGATGGTAGGAAAGAAGTACAATAATCCTCTAGTATTGTAATAATCAAAACAATAAGTTTTGCAGCACGTAGCTCTAATATTGCCTCTTACTTAGACAGAAAAAAGAATTATACCATTGATTTTGGTCTATCTATCTATCTATCTATCTATCTATCTATCTATCTATCTATCTATCTATCTATCTATCTATCTATCTATCATCTATCTGTCATCTATTTATCATCTATCTGTCTTTGTCTCTATTTAGATCCATCTATTTTATGTCTGTTTTTTAATCTTAAAGTAGTTTGTTTAAACAGTTAGTTGCCTCACTGTTAAATAATGATAGTTTGTAAGGGGACTGCATGCATATTTACATAAATTTAGTTTATCATTATGTTATCACTATCTCAGCATAGCAGTAAGTCCAAAATATTGCTTATATGCTTTTTTGGATGAAATCTTAATTTATACGTGACAAACTGAGACAAATGTTCATTGGCTGCATCCCCATACATTTATTTACCGAGGAAAGAATATGTATTGAAACTGTTCTCCAGTCACTCTGTTATGGACTGTAATTTTCAAACAAAATTCATCCTGTGAAGGAATAAAGATTATTGTCATAACTGTCTCTTATTTTAAAAATATGCAAAGACAGTTGTAGCAATAAGAATTACTCAGGGAATTGAAGCATCAAAATAGATGCCATTCATCTATGTCTTAGGCTTGAATAAGCAAAGCCAGATGTCCAAATTAGCAGAAGAATCTCTAGTCATTCATCATTCTGTGCAATGAGTGGGAAAAATACATTTGTTACAAAAACAATTTTTTATTATTTGTCCAGACTTTCTGTCTTAAAATTCAAAATTTCTTATGCCCTTGCGAAATGCCATTCTTTTCACTGTCCCCAAAGCATCTTATTAAAGCTTCAAAAAGCATTATATACGTTGAGCAATGGATTATATTTATTTAAAATAGTTCACCAGTCTACTCTTTTACAGCCTTAATTTTTTTCATCCCCCTTTTTATAGACTGTAACTTTTGCTAACTTTACTTATAGAAGCAAAACTGATTTGAAATGAAAGATCTTTAAAGGGGAATACTGCAGTTTTCAGTCCCAACTCATTTAAAACTGCTTTAATTTGCCCTGCCCTCTTAATTTATGGCTATAGTACCTCTGCAATACTTAGGCCTCAGTGATTGATATTTTTTGCAATACATTATGTTTCCTTATGTATTTTTGAAATAATATTTCCAGTTCCCATAAATTGCCATATTAAGGTCCCATGTTGGAAGACATGCACCCCCATGTAGGTATTTATTTGGGAGTGAGTCCTCTGACATAAAAAAAACTTATTTTCAGGTAAATATTACACAACTCCAGACCTGTTGGGTCATCCTTCTTCCACCTACAATGTAGGCTGGTGCTGCTTCCCCTCCTCTCACAACCCTCCTAGTGAAGCCTCCTCTTCTTCCTCCTCCTCAGCTGACTCTTGGATCTGCCTGCCACTTTACTGGAGGGGGAGAGATTAAAGGGAGCTGAAGACCACAAAGAAAACTACATGCCCACTCCCCATTCCAGCATGCCCCAAAGGGCCACTTATCTCCATTGGGCTTACCCAGCCAGCATCACCCAGCTATCCTTTTCTTGCCAGTAGGCATCCAAATTGCTTCCTAGTCATTCCCTCACTGTTCATCATTGTTAAGAGATTTCAGTTTTTGGTCTCCATTCCAAAGAAGTCAATTACCACTTAACCATCAGGACTTGCTGTCACCTGATTTAGTGCAGTGGCCAGAGTAAGGCAGGAAAGAAGATGGGGATATGTCCCTCCCATCTTCCTTGCTCATTTATTTCAATTATGTGGGATTTTGGATTCATTATTTAAGTTAGCCCACTTGAAATACCTTGGTTCAAAACTCTATGATGCTCCTTCTGGCCTAATTGTCAAGACAAGGTTACAAATGGACAAAGAGACAAGAGAGTTTTGGTAATATATAGATGCATCAGACTGCAGATTTCAAAGATATTGTGGTTGAATAAGCCATATATGAAATATATATATATATACAAATCTTGTAACTACTTCCGGTGGCAGGCAACCTCGTCGGACGCAGCTGTAGCTGCCTCCCGCCTGTTTCTGCGTAAAAGCCGTTTTGACAGCTAGCATCAGCTGTCAAACGGCTTGATACCTTTCCCCTGGGCAGAGGGGGATAGGTGAGCTACCCGGGGTAGGAGTTGAGTTCCCGAGTCATCCCTTGTGGACGATGTAGGTGAGAACTCCTCCGGAGCCCCGGGCTTCTCCGCGATCCAGGACGCCTTCGCGTTAGCGAAGCTAGAAGCCGCCGCCACCGCTGCAACTTAAAGAGAACTGTGAGTTTTTTCCTGTAAGCAGACGAACCGACCCTGGAAGATTGCTTTCTTTCTTGGACTTTACTCTAACTTGGATAAAGTTCTTCCCTGTACTTGAGGTGGACTGAGGGGAAGTGAACTTAAAATGGCGTTGGATTGATACTTTTCAGCAAGAAGTGAAAGTGATTTCCGGTTTGGAACTTTTACTACTTTTAACCGGTGTACTATCTGCGTTGGCTGAATTGTTTACAAGACTTTTAATAACTTGAACTTTATTGCAAATATGGCCTCGAAAAAAACTGTGCCTTCGATTGTAAAATATACATCTCCGATGTCTCAGACACCCCATCCAACTTCAAAGACTTCCCATCTGCCACGCCCTCCATCTTCTTCGTCTCCACCGTCTTCTGGCAGAGAGTTGCAGGATATGATGTCTGCAACTATTAAACAAATGACTGAGATGTTTCAAGAGATGGATGTTAAAATGCAAAATAGATTTGATCAATTATCACAACAACAACTGGATTTATCTCAACAACAGCAAGATTTATCACAGAAACAGGAGGATTTTTGTGTGAGTGTGGCAACTGCTTTTAAAGGGTTGGCTGACTATGTAGATGCAGTAGCAGAAAGGGTGGAGGAGAATGAGGAAAGAGCGGAAGCAAGTGAACATAGACTTGAACTTGTAGAGGAGAGTTTGGAAAATGTTAAAGGGGATGTGTTGATTGCTCAATTTCGTGATATGGAGTTTGCAATTCGGATTCGTGGGTTGGCTGAGGACCCAAAGGAGAACTTAAGACAAGTAATTGCGGATGCACTTGGGGATGCCTTGTCGTGTGGTCAGGAAATTTACTTGGAAATAGAGCGTGTTTTTAGGGTGAACTCGTGGATCGCTCGACAGAAGAATTTGCCTAGAGATATAGTGGTCTACCTTACAAGAAAGTCGAGATGTAATGAAATAATGCAGCTCTTTTACCAACAGAGATTCAAGATTTTAAATCAAGACGTTATTCTTTTAAAATTCCAGCGAAAATACTTAGAGCGCGCAGAGACTATGCCTTTTTGACACAGGAGCTCAAGATTAGACAAATAAATTTTAGATGGGACATACCGGTGGGCATAATTGTAACGATAGCTGGTAAACGTTACAGGCTTAACTCGATTAAGAAGGCTAAGGACTTTATGACGTCTGTTTTACAATCAGAATGCCCACCTAC